AAATAGGATCATAACTCTTGATCAAATACCTGCAATTGAAAATCTTGTAAAACGATATAATGTTGAAGACAGTAAAAATTTTAAAACACCAATTGAAAAGAATTTGAATTTACTGAGAAATACTGATTGTAATCTTAGTACTAATTTACCATACAAAGAACTGTTAGGTAGTCTTATGTACATAATGATGGGTACTAGACCTGATATTTGTTTCAGCATTAGTTATTTTGGGAGATTTCAAGATAGTGCTACTAATGAACATTTTAAGCATTTGTTAAGAGTACTGAAATATTTGAAATCTACTATTAACTTTAGGTTATATTTTTATCATTTAGAAGATACTTCTTGTTTTGATTTAGTTGGCTATACTGATGCTGATTGGGCTAATGACATAAATGATAGAAAATCCATTAGTGGATATTGTTTTAAACTTTTTAATAATCTAATCTCATGGTCTTCCAAAAAGCAAAGTTTGGTAACTTTATCAAGTACAGAATCTGAGTTTGTGGCAGTATGTGCAGCTTCATGTGAATTAATTTATATAAAAAACTTACTGTTAGATTTGGAAATTAAATTATTATTACCAATCACAATATTTGAAGACAATCAAACTGCTACAAAACTTTGAAAACAATAAAAGGTGTAAACACATTGAAGTAAAATTACATTTTGTTTTGGATCTGGTAGCACAGGGTATTATGAAGATTGAATATATTTGTTCAAATGAGCAACTTGGAGATATATTTACAAAGTCTCTGTGCTATGAGAAATTTAATTATTTTGTAAATAAGTTAGGTTTGAGGGTTTAAATTTAGTTTTGTATACTGACAGGTTTGAGGGAGGGTGTTAAATAAATAGTCGTGAATAGGAGACAAACCTGTCTATGGTTGACAGAGCGACTGACGTATGTCAATGTCAACGTTTTTAAGATGGTATCGTAATGTAACCACTTTTAATTATGTATTTATGTATCACGTTTATTTGAGTTAGTATTACAATAAAATATCAACACATTCTTTTATTTTATTTTATATTAATCTATATAACAGTTATATTTACAGACTGCCAAAGCATTGTACATAAACTGAAATATAATTTACATACTTTTGTAGAAAATTATATCATCAGTGACATTATAGCACTAAACAGTGAAGCTTTGAAATCGGGCAAAAATATCATATGGTGCTGGATAAAAGCACATATTGGTATAAAAAACAACGAAATAGTAGATGATCTGCCAAAAAAAGCAACAATGAAAGAATCCACTCTTCAAACCTATCAACTTCCTATGGGAGATTTAATATCTGTAATCAGGTCTCACAAACGGACCAAATGGCAGGGACACTACAACAATTCGGACAAAGGCAAATTTTATAAAATAATCCAACCCAAAATTTCCGTCAAGACATGGTTTAAACAAGTTTCCAACAGATGCTTCATCAAAACTATTTGTAGAATAAGAAGCAATCATTGTATGATTCCAGTCTACAAAAGAAAAATGGGACTGGCAAATAATAATGAATGTATATGTGGAGAGCTAGCTGATCTACAACATATGCTGTTAGATTGTCCTTTACATTTTATTGAAATATCAAATTTTTTTACCAAGCTAGTTCAAGTTAATGTTCAATTACCTTCTAATCTAACACATCTTTTAGAGTCAAAGAATCTAGATGTATATAAAATTTTAATAGTCATATTAATTGTTTAAAATTAAAGCTCTGACAAAAAAAAAATAATAAAGAATAAAAAAAAATGAAGAACAAAATAAAAAAAATACTAAGAAGATCTAAACCTCCGAGGTGTCGAATCGGGTTTATGTCTTAGCGTAGTAATAAAAAAAATTAATAAAAAAAATAAACAAAAACAAAAAAAAATAAAAAATAAATAAAAAAAAATAAAAAATAAAAAAAAAGATACAAAAAACAAAACAGCAAAAACAGAGTAATCTAGTAAATAAGTTTCTAACATTCCATGTCTTAACTGTCAATACAATACAATAGTTTTAAATGTAAATACTAACAATATCTTTTGTAAAGAGAGAACTTAAAACAAATTGACTGGCCAGTTGGTTGTCAAAACCAGTGCCAATAAACCACACACACACACACACACACACATATTGTGAAAAAACAAAAAAAAAGACAGTTTGCAAATCAATGGCATCGAAATTTGTTTAGGCGTAGATGCAAAGTTACATAAATAGCTCCGTTCGTACTCCTTTCCCACTTCCCCCTAACTACATATTTCATTAAAAGCCGACGGCCACGCATCGAGCAATAAGACAAAAGAGGGAATCTAATCCTTATGAAAACATCGAGCAAAAAGATAAAAGAGGGAATCTAATCGTTATGAAAAGGAAACCAAAAAAGTGGCCTCTGATGGCGGACATATCCGGAAATGCAAAGGCGCTAAATTTAAATTTTCCAACACTTGTTAACAATACCTGTAAAATATTTTTCAGGCAAGAAAGCTTTAATTAAATATTAACGATAATAGTCTAAAAAGTGACATAATTGGTAAAAAACTTCAATATAAATAAAATTTCATGTGACAGTTGGGACAAACAATAACATAACCAAACTAAATTTGACTTCTTAAACAAGGAAAGAGACTGTCTTTCCTTGTTTAAAGTGGCCTCTCAAGATGACACTTCCTGTCTAACAATATTGTTGTCCCCAATGACGTATAATATATAGACTACGCAGTCCCCTATTCTCGCTATAGAATCGAGTGTCCGAAAGATCTCGGCTCAAGGTTGAAGGTATGTTTATTAGAACAGCGGCGTGCTCATTTATAAGTTAATGACAATAATTATTTTTTTAATTAAAATTAAATATTTATGATTTCTTTTTGTTCCCGTCTATAAGAGAAATAATTATTTTGATAAAATAGTATGGCATTTTACTAAAATAGTAAGTAAATAACTATCAACAATTTAAAATAAAATTTGCTTGTCACACAAAATGGAGTACGTCCATGATGTTTTCAAACACAAGATCAACTTCGTGATGCTTCGTAAGAAATCATGAACTTCGTGCATCTTCGTATCAAAACAATAAACAATAACAAAGGTATTCATGTTTTGGACACTTTTTAAAGCGTTCACCGAGTCTATATATTATACGTCATTGGTTGTCCCCACTACCTTTACATTCCCTCTTTTATCTTTTTGCTCGATGTATGAAAAGGAGACCAAAAAGTGGCCTCTGATGGCGGACATATCCGGAAATGCGAATGCGCGAAATTTAAATTTTCCGACACTTATCAACAGTAGCTATATAATATTTTTCAGAATGTGTCTTAGACGAGAAAGTTTTATTTAATTATTAATGATATGAGTCTAAAATGCGACACAATTGTTAAAAAACTTCAATATAAATAAGATTTCATGTGACATTTGGGACAAACAATAACATAACCCAACTAAATTTGATGTCAAACAAGGGCCCTGATTCTAATTGAGATTTCGACTGAAAACATGTTGAAATCAATATGGCGACGTCGAAATGCGACTTTGCGAGCCTAGTGGATTTCAGCTGAACTAACCAAAGGACGTCACTAAATTTCGATTTATCGAAATTAATTTCAACTTCAAGAAAGTGGTTGAAATTTAATTTCGAGTCGAAATTAATCTGACATGACTAGCGGGACTGGGAGAAGCGAGGTTAGGTTTAGTTTAGGCGGTGTTGTTTTGTTTATTGTTGCAACGAAAACTGAGGCAAAAAGTATTAATATGGCTGCGTTTTATCAGAAATTGTATCGGCACATAATTGGTCGAAATTTTAACACCTATAAAAATAGAACTGCGGTATCTGGGAGCCCCAAGCCAGATGCTACTGATTATTTTTTAAAATATACTGTGGTGTAAAAATTAAAGAAATAAAATGTCCCAATATTAAAACTAAATTGGAAACAACAATTTTTGAATATATTCAACAGGCTGTAATGGAAGATAGAAATAATAAATAATTTGATTGTAATAATTTATTTTAATTCTACACTCTTATTTGGAGATATAAAATAATCTTTAAACTCATCAAGAATTTTTAGAGCGGTAATGTATTGTTTTTAGTAATACCAATGCTAAGCTGCAGTAAATTTAAAAATATAATATAACCACTAAGTCAAAAGCCATCATAATTTCTTTTTGGTCCACAGACAATTTAGTGGCACCATCACCAACAGCCTTAATCCATTTTCTTTCAATTCAAAATATAATCATTGAGAATGGCCACTAAAAATTTAACAACTCAGACAAGAAACAAAAATCGTAAAATGTAAACATAAACATTTAACAAGCGTGCAACCAATAAACAAGGCGGCCAGACGGCCAACCCAAATTCTAAGCAGTGTCAAAATGATAAAGTAAATGTCCCCACTTTTAACTAAAATCGAAATGAATGAGAATCGCTAGCGATTGCGACTGTCATGGCGTAGTCGCTTTTAAATTTCGACATCGAAATGAAATAGAATCAGGGCCCAGGAGAGAGACTCTCTTTCCTTGTTTAATGTGGCCTCTAAAGATCACACTTCCTGTCTAACAATATGTTTGCCCTCACTACCTTTACATTCCCTCTCAATGGCTCTATTGTCTTTTTGCTCGATGCGGCCCATCGAGCAAAAAGATAATTGTCTTATTGCTCGATGATGCGGCCACGGCACCACGCTTTGGGTTTATGCAGCCACCCTCTTAAGGAGTGTTTTGACGTATAAACCAGAGAACTGTTCGTAGTTCTCTGGTTTAAACCGTAACCAAATGGCCCATTTGAACTGCTCTTCTATAAGCGTCTATTATATTCTTTGGTCATATTCATGCCCCGCGAACTCTAGTAAAAAAATGTTATTCGATTTAGTTTACTTCCAGGCCGTATGAGGCCGTGCAAAACGTTAATTTATGCATCATAGAACATGACATTTGACAAGCCCTGCACTATGACCTACGGCTTCCAAAAAGCCGATCTATGGTCATATTATAAAAGCTTGGTTAGGTTAGAGTGCACGTTTATGCCTATTGTTCATAAATAAGTTTGTATATTTCCAATATATTCAATTTTAGCGGTAACTATGGAATTTAAAGAGGAAATTAAGGAAGAGTTTGTTGAATATAACCAACAAGATATAGAGAGCCAGCTCCCAGCCACATCCATAGATTTAGAAAACTTCAAAAATGAATTAGAAGATAACTCAGGTAAGATAAGTATTAAAAATGAGTGTTAAATAATGTTATATAATTCATATTTATTAGAAATGGGAGTAAGAGCTAAAATTAAGGAAGAGTTTGCTGACGGTTGTCAAGGATATACAGAGAGCCAGCTATTTACATCCCCAGATCTTGAAGACTTGATTAATAAAGCAGATGAAGATACCTCAGGTGAGAGAAGTAATAAAAATATGTCTAGAAATTTTAATATTTGCCCCATGGTAGGTTCTGTGAGGGAAATCATAATGGTCACTTATTGCACTGCACATTTATTACTTTTTTTTTTTAAACTGTTTTTTTTTGGAAAAATGACTGATAATTTTCTGTAATTTCCATATTGTATTTTTGGTCTTATCATATAACTGGAATTTAGATTGTGGTTTATGGGTTATCAACTTTTTAGAAGTTAAATTGGGTTAAGTTAGGTTTTCAATACAAATAACATCAGACCTAACAGGTTCTGCTTTTTCTGACAAGTTTTGCCAGGTTTTAGGTATAAATATTAGAAAAGTACATTTTGTTTGTATTATGTTATGAATTCTGCAATTTTTTATTTATATTAAACAAGAATGAGTAAATATTTGTTTCTTTGGAGATTAATTGCAGTTAATTATTAGATATTTTTTTAGCAAATACCCTTTGACAGATTAGGGGATAGATTTGACAAATCAGCAGTTGTCAGAGGTTTGCAAATAATCTCGAAAGGGACAAATATTTACCTGTTATTGCTTCATATAAGTTAAAACTGCGGAATTCATAAAATAGTATAATCAAAATGTACTTTTTAAAAGCTTTATCTCTTTATATTTGAAACATACAACATATGCATTGTAAAAACATGCCAATGCTGCCAAACTGAAATATTTTTGACATTTATGTGGCTATATTCAGCTTGTATCTTCGGTAAACTCAACCCAACAATTTATGTGACTTTTCCATTTGATTTCATTCTGATTGATCACTTCTTTGGCTGCACACCAGTGTTCCTCAGAATCCCATGGTATGGTATTTAGTCGAGTGTGCTGCCTAGTGTCTACTGCTATCAGTTTTGACTGATCTACCTCATTTAAGGACAGCTGCAAAAGTTCTATATTTGGGGAGGGTAACAGTCTGAGACTGGATTCTCCACTGTGCTCACTCTGGTAATGTTTTTCACTTATTTCTGCTCATTGTCCATGTTTGTTTTCATAAGTTGGGACAAAATGCTGTCCAATGTGAAAGTGCATCCTTACAATGCTAAGGCTATAATCTCCTAGAGTTCTTCAGCATAAATATTTTTCTATGATATATTTCATTATTACCAATTCTTGCTAAAATTCTTGGGAAACTAATAATAAAGAAATTGAGTTCTTTGAGACTGAGAAAAAGGATATAATTCCAAGGATAATGTTTGTTATTACAAAATTATGATTACTATATTGAACACAGAGCAAATACAAGAATGCAACATGTAGATGCCTTAGCAGAGTGAGTTCTGGTATTAGAAAGCAATTTAATTGAGCAAACTTTGGTTTTAAAACAATCCAAGGATAGAATTATTTCAGTCTTTATTAATCTTTAGAGAAATGATTAATCTTTAGAGAAGACTCAAGGAGGCAGATCATCTTTTCTTTGAAATAAGAAATGGGTTAGTATATAAAAAGATAACATTGCATTTTATCTACTAGAAAGTATGAAGTCACCAGTTATCCATCACTATCATAATGAATTAGGTCATTTCTGATTCATGGTCAATCTGATGATCGTCAACATTATTTCCAAGATTATTGTTTTCCAAAATTAAAATTTAAGATTGGACATTATATTGAAAATTGCTTAAAGTGTATTTAATTCAATCCTAAAAGTGGTAAATCAGGATATCTACATAGTATACCTGAAGTTAACTTACCTTTTGAGGTGCTTCATATTGATCACCATGGGCCTTTAGTTCCTTATAATAAGAATAAATGTGTATTTAGTACTAAATAAAGTAAAAGTAATTAAATATTTAATTGAACATTTTCCATTATAGTGTACCCTAGCATTATAATTTCAGACAGAGGATCTTGTTTGTCCGAGAGCCAATGGGCAGGTAGAGTGCATGAACAGATTATTGGCACCTCTTCTAGCACAGGTAACAGATGAAAAACAAATCAACTGGCCAAATGCATTACCTCAGCTAAGTTACTTCTTGGAAGAGACCAAATAGGGGAGATTACGGATAATTTAAGAGAAGCATTACAAGATATTGTTGAGGAAGAAAGATTTGGAAATGATTCGAACTAAGGCAGAAGCACAAATAATTAAAGCAAAAAATATAACAAGAAGCACAAGGAAGCTCAAAAGTTTAAGGAGGGGCAACATGTTATGATTTCCAATGTATACACAACCCCTGGAGTAGCTAAAAAACTTATACCAATGTTTAGAGGGCCACATGAGATTTAAAAGAGTTAACAAATGATAGGTATATTGTAAATGATATTGTTGATTTCCAAACTACACAAATGCCATACGAGGGAATTATAGGCAGAAGTAATCTCATTATTAGTTATGGTTAAAATAATTATGTATGTTATGCCATGCTTATTTAAACTATTATGAATATTATCCCTTGCTTATTTAACCCATTATGAATTAATAGTTCATAAACATACATACTTATGTATGTTTATGAACTATAAAAATGTTCTTCAAATATCCATTATATTATCCATGTTATGTCTTATGAAAGTTATGAATGCTTAATATCTTAGCCATGTCACAGAATAATAAACAATCAGAATGCTCACACTCCATGAAAAATTAAGTACGCGCATCTCGTTCACGCAGATGTTCTGCCATGTTTTAAAGGGAACCAGTATTGTTTATGTGGTGTGCATAGAAAAATTAACCTGATTTAATTGACTTACAGCAATCATAGACATACTATACAATTATATTAACATTGTTAAATATAATAACATAAATATAATATAACTAAACATAAATATAAACAATTACATAACCTCACAAATCATATGTTTGTGTTATGTGTTTCCTTCTAAAACATGGCGCGCATGTTGAAAAACTTCAAAGGCGGCATCTGAGAGTGGGCATTCTGATCGTTTATTATTCTGTGGTTATGTAATTAATATTCTGTAATATTAGTTGATCGAGAACGATCAGACATGTCAGGATGGCCAAACTGTAGTCTTTTATTTTAATTTCGCTCCATTGACAGATTTGATTGTCACTCAAATTTGAAGTGTGTTAAGAGGATAACCTCATACTATTATGATTATTTCTGACGAATATTCTCAAGTTAAGTTGATTTCATGTAATTGAATGAATGATCTTACAATAAAGTTGTCCCAGAAACGCAACTCAACAATGTTGGCAATATCATTTTAAAGTCATCTACTTTAAAATGTGTAATATATGTCTGAATTGTCAATAAGAATGAGTCAGATAAAATTAAATTATTAGAAGAATTTTTCACAAAGTAGCAAAAAACAATTTGTTTTTTAATTTATTAATGTTCTGTATTTTGAGAACCATTTCCGAAGTGGAAATCGAAACTTCAAACTACTTTTAACTTACATTGTGGCTTATTTTCAACAAAAACAGTAATTGCATTAAGATGCCACAAGAAAATAGCTTCAGAACAGTACAGCAATAGCAACAGAATGTTTCGTTAAATACAATAAATAAAAAAGAATGTTTCAGTTTCATTTATTTATTCATTCTTACAAAATTTTATTACTCTTTTTTTACCCTGTAATTTCTGCATATATTTTTTATAGTTTTTTTTTTATTTTTATTTTAGGTTTTTCTCAGAATGGAATGGAAATCATAAAAACTGAACATGTATGCACTACAGATCAACAAATATGTTCAAACACTGAAGAAACACCATTAAAAAATTCTATTGATAAATGTAAAATTTGTTTAAAGCAATTTAGCCTGAACAGTTCTTTGAAACGACATATAAAAACGCACACTGCAAAAAAGCTTTACAAGTGTGAAATTTGTTTTAAACACCTTTCTCGAAAAGATAATTTGAAGGCACATATGAGATTGCACACTGGGGAAACGCCTTATAAATGTGAAATTTGTTTTAAACAGTTTAGTCAAACAGGTCATTTGAAATCGCATAGGAAAATTCACACTGGAGAAAAGCTTCACAAGTGTGAAATTTGTTTTAAGCAGTTTCCTGCCATCAGTTTATTGAAAAGACATTTGAGTGAGCACACTGGAGAAAAACTGTACAAGTGTGAAATTTGTTGTAATCAGTTTGCTTTGCCATATCATTTGAAAAGTCATTTGTTGGTGCATACAGGAGAAAAGCCTTACAAGTGCGTACTTTGTTTTAAGCAGTTTAACCAGGCAACTTCTTTAAAACAACATATAAAAACGCACACTGTAGAAAAGCCTTATAAGTGTGAAATTTGTTTAAAACAGTTTAGTCAAACAGGTCATTTGAACATACATACAAAAACTCACACTGGAGAAAAGCCTTATAAATGTGAAATTTGTTTTAAACAGTTTAGTCAAAGAAGTAATTTGAAAACACATATGAAAATTCACACTGGAGAAAAGCTTCACCAGTGTGAAATTTGTTTTAAGCAGTTTACTGCAATTAGTCCATTGAAAAAACATTTGAGAGCGCACAGTGGAGAAAAACCGTATAAGTGTGATATTTGTTCTAATCAGTTTGCTTGGCCATATCATTTGAAAAATCATTTGCTGGTGCACACTGGAGAAAAGCCTCACAAGTGCGAAATTTGTTCTAAGCAGTTTACTCGAGTACCTGATTTGAAAATTCATTTGAGAGTGCACACTGGAGAAAAGCCTTATAAGTGTGAAATTTGTTTCAAGCAGTTTAGGACAAAAATGCTATTGAAAAGGCATGTGAGAGTGCACACTGGAGAAAAACCATACAAGTGCAAGATTTGTTGTAATCAGTTTAACCGAGCAAATAGTTTAAAAACACATTTGAGAGTACACACTGGAGAGAAGCCTTATAAGTGCGAAATTTGTTTTAAACCGTTTAGTGATGCAAGTAATTTGAAAACACATTTGAAATGTCACACTGGAGAAAAGCCTTACAAGTGTGAAATTTGCTTTAAGCAGTATAGACAAAGAAGTAAATTGAAACAACATTTGATGCATCACACTGGAAAAAGCCTTAGTTAAACAAGTCATTTTAAAACATATACAAAAGTTTACCCTGGAGAAAAGCCTTGCCAGTGTGAAAGTTGTTTTAAGCAGTTTATTCATAAAGTTTTTGGATGAACATATGACAGTTCACACTTTAGGAAAAGCCTTATAAGTGTGGAACTTGTTTTAAACACTTTCGTCAACTATTTCATTTGAAAAGTCATATGGGGGTACACACTGGAGTACACCCTATATGTTGACGACATCTGGAGGGGAGTATTCAAAATTCGTGGTTTACACAGGCATCTTAAATTATTGTGGAGTAAAAGGACACACCATTAATGCCGCTGAAAAGATAGAATGATCACGTGAATGACACGCACTCTTAAATATTCCTCTCCCTATGTTATCACTTTTCTTACGTTTACACCGCTCAACAAAAACGGACACTCTCGCTATAATATATTTACACCGTTTTTTACAGGTTATTAAACGTAACAAACAATTAATAAAATCGTTAATAAACCTAACTCAGACAATAACCAGCTAGCGGAAGTAAAACATAAATTAATAATGACGGTGTAAACAGTCTCTCAGAAGATCTAGTTTTGACCGCCTGTCGATGCTTGCAGTGACTGATCATGCAACCTTGGATTCCATCTTTTAAGCGGCCAGGGTATAGCACAGCGTCTTGCGTATAAAAAAACGCATTGTAGAGGAACTATTCAAGTTAATAGAAAATCATTTCTCCGATAAAGGACAATGTTAAAAAAATGAAACTATAGCAAAGTATGTGAATGGCATAATGATCGGTAAATGGAAAGAGAAAAGTTGCACATATTTCCACTGAGCATAAGAATGATATGTTGGGAATTCTTACAAGACAAGAGAAGAAAACAAAATCGATTCCAATTATCCAATATAATAAATATGTCTGATGTGGATAGGCAAGTTCAGATGCTTGCATACCAAGACTTATGCCCATATTTATAGTCGATAATTAAGTATCGGTCGATGCTTGAGGTCGACCTTGAATCATATTTGTGTTCTATACACCGATCTCAAGTACGAACTCGAGCTTGAGTATGCAAAAATGACAGCTCACGCTCAAGCTTCCGATCGACCTCCCTTGGTCCCTTGAGCACGAGATCCTAACCTAACTTTGTTTATGTCTATTAACATTTTTTCCAATTCGCTTCCAATGCCTATATATTCTTTTGAAATTATGGATATTGTTGTTCAAAATCCAGGATCAAGTCATGACCGAAAGAGGTTAACTTCCAGAATTATTAATAGGTGACAGTGAATATGCATGCAGACACTATCTGCTGACTCCAGTATTACAACCAGATATTTATTGATAATTGGCTAAACAAAAAATAAGTTATTTGAGAGATATATCGTTTTAGGTAATGATCAAAAAATAGATATAATAGTGCATATGTAAGAAATGTTATCAAAAGGCTATTTGGAACCTGGAAAATATGGTTTCCCTGTCTTCGATGAGGGCTACAAACCAAATTAAATACATCTATCTCTTACAATAATAAGTGCTACAGCAGTACTCTACAATATGTATATGTTTACAGGAAAATGATGATAGTGACATTGATTTTCTAGAAAATCTGATGTGCCAATAAATAGATATGTTAATGATGTAGACCAAGGTTTAAATTTTAGGAGACGTTTTATTCAACAAGTTTTGCGTGTGAGTGAGAATACATTATTGAATACTTATGTTAAATATATTCTTTTTTATTTTATTTGTCAAAATGTATTTATTATATTTTAATTTAAAATAAATGAGGGTTATACAATATTTAGGCAACTGAAGCAAGTATATCTTTACTGAGTTCAAGGTTTTTCCCTCATTTTAAATAAATGTTTATTCCTTTCATAAAACCTTTCCTTATCAAATATAAAATTAATTACACATTTAAAATATTAATACATAAAATATATTTATAAACCACGATAAGTAAAGTAAATAGATACCTAATAGCAATAAGCATTATAATTTGAAAATAATAATTTATAAAATTAAAAAATTGAATAATATCAGACTTGTTGATTATATGATAACCACTTTACAACCACCACTTACATTAAAAACAAAATCACCAAAAAAAAATATCCACAACTAGCATTTACATTTAGAATGTTTTAACAGTTTTCAATATAATACATACCATAAATACATTAAGTACAAATAAGAATAGTTATAATATAAATGATTGCTTTAAAAATCTATTACTATAACCTATAACTATAACTATTAACCTTTGAAATAATTGAAACCTTTTTTGACGGATGTTTTTTATTTGCAATTATAATACCCACTGCCCCATTAGTAGTAGGTGTGTTTGTTAAAATTGTTATTATTATTACATATTTCTTTAAATACATTTAAGATTACTTACCATTTGAAACACGTTGACATATTTTATGGGAACAAGATGTGTCCGATTACAAGTATGTCTTGAAACTATTATTAAATGTACAGGTAAGATTTCTCAAAATTATCATAGTTACATAACAACTCTTTACTTTCTTATTTTGAACTGGAAAAGCAATGGGGGGAGTCAGATACTTCTAATGTTACAGTAATTAAACTTGCATGTCCTCTTTACCTCTTTCAAATACTTCTGTGCTGTTCCAAGGACAGTTGATGCTTAAATATATGTCGGGAATAGAACCTTGCAAAAACTCGAGTTCTACATCAGGCTTTAGCTTTTTCAAAGGCCACCACCTGTAGCCAGCATGCTGTTTTTCTCTACATTTTCTACGATAAAAAATTTGCTTAAATAAATAAAAGTATTTTATCTGTTTCAATTTTTTTTACAATTTTCGTAGCTGTTTCGAAGTCCTTAATATATCTACCTCAGTCTGGCAGTTATATATGTTTGTAAGGAAGCACCGTCTGTCCTTTTATTCTCTACAGTATTATTTTCCTTTACCAGCTGGATTAAAAACACCTGTTCTTTTGTTGAATACACTGCATATTTAGTACAATTTCCGCTCATCTAAAAATCCAAGTAATGCAAATTTATTTTCTCGAATGCATATTTTTTTAAAATATTACATTAAAATATAATAATTCATTAAAAATTAATTTTTTTCAATACACAACATGCCTCTTCTTCAACAAAGCCAAATTTGGCGCTAAAAATATTTAAATAAAGATTAGTGACAATGTTAATAATTGACAGAATCTTCTCTTTATTCGATGATATCAATCAGATTTACTTAAAATCCCTAATTTTCGTGCTTGAGATCAATCTCGTACGAGAATAGCCGAAGTGTCGTTTATAAAACACAAGAGAGACTGGAGCACGAACTTGAGTACTGACCATAAATACGTACATTAGATAGCCTTCTAACATTTTTAGACCTTTTTACAGTTAACGTTACTAAATGCCCCTAAATTGTACAATATGAGTTTCGCATGTCAGTAATAAGAGCACTGCTGAAGAAATATTCCATACCTACTGCACCGTGCAGTTCTAATCACATTTTAAAGACACAAGAAAAAAAAGCGGGAACATTTTTGAGAAAGCAGTGTAAAAACTGTTACAAATGTCAAAAGAAAAGATACAATCTACATATTTATATGTTCAATTTGCCATGCGGATCCTGGCTATTATTTACACTGCGTTGAAATAACAATAATAAATAACTTGATAATTGTACACCCTGTATTATATTGTATCCCATATTCATATTTTTTTTATTATTTAAAAATGTCTCTGCAACAATGGGCCGTTGACACTGGTACAAAGTTTGTTACAGTAAATTACATTTACATACCTATAAAATCTGTTTATATACAAGTTAGGATACATTAGCTACATATTGACACTAAGTAGTATCTAAAGATGACAGTCTTTTAGAAAGTGAATTATGGCACTGTACATGTTTGAACCGAGTAAGTCACTTAACTTGTTTTGAAAGTTGTAGTAACTTCTTTGAAGTTTGTAGTGGACACATTCTAGTAATATGTGCTGGACTGTTAAGAGTCATTATAATGTTTACATCGAGGACCTTTTTCAATTCAAGAAGACATTAGATATCCATGAGTAAGACGAGTGTGACTTATTCTGAGCCTTCTGTTAATAATATTGTCTTTTCTGCTCATTTGGGGCATGGTGATGGAAGCAACAGTTGGTTGAATTGTGCGTAGTTTTGTATGTTGCACGTTCCAGTTTGTTTGCCAAGTGCTTAATACGTTGTTCTTGATACTAACCCTTAGACCTGGTGAAGTTGTATGTTGTCCATATTTTGTAAGGAGCACGTCTGTTTTGCTACATAATCAGCTTTCTCATTTCCATTGATACCAACATGAGATGGTATCCAGATGATGGTTACTAAAACACCATTTTTTGACTGCTGTTGGCAGATTCTGTGGCAATGGGATGTAGGGAGTATACATTTCTGATTGAATTGATATGATGATACTGTTATATTTGAGGTACTGACGGCCTGTTATTTTTTGGAGACATCTGTGTAGAGAATTTTGTCATAATGCTGTGTCTGTATAAGTTCTTCAAATGTTTGTACCAAGAGAGTTCTGGACGTTTATTTTTTTTTTTATCGATTTAAGCTGGTGAGGACAGTAGGTACCTTTTTACTAGTTTGGCTTTTTAAAGTTTTTAAAACTTATAAAGAAAAATGTGCTCAAGGATGACTATTATCTGGGACAGGGTGGGAAGTATTAATTAGTTTAATTACTGGGTTTTCGGATTGGCAGAAATTCTAGAGAAGACAGTATTAAACGTGGTCGTATTATAAAAAGTGGGGGTTCTGAAGATTCGATATAAAGACTTTCAGAAGAGCTTTATTTAAAGGCATCGAGGCTAATGCGTAAAGAAGTGTTGTAAATTGTATTCAGGCTTGTAAGGTAAGTGTCGGAATTAAATATGTAGGGAATGCTTCCGTAATCCAACCTAGACCGGATCAAGGTTCTGTAAATTGTTAAGAGGACTTTCTCTTCTGCCTCCCATTTATAATGGCTGGAGTTTTTAAGATATTGATTCTATTTAGGCAGTTTGTTTTAGTGTCCTGTATCTGATCTCTCCATGTAAGTCTTTTATCGAATATATTCCGAATAATTTGTGTTTATCAACCACTTGAAGAGGAGATCCATTTCTTCTAGGAAGTGTAAGACTTTAGATTTTCCAGATGGACATTTGGCTCCAATTTTAGTGAACCAGTTATGAAGATTGTTAAGAGTATTTTGGTGTAAAGAGGATGTGCTCCTTGTAACTTTGCCTTGGCAATAAAAGAACAAGATCATCAACGTATATTGAGTATTTTACGGGAGGGAGAACAAGAGAGTTTAAATAATTAATGCTAAGAAGGGATAGTGTGGGGCTCAGAACTGAGCCTTGGGGGACTCTATTTTATAAGATATGTGTTGTAGATGTTTTCCCGTTTGCAACAACTTTGAATTATCTCCCTTGTAAAAGTTGTTTATAAAGGTGAGAATAACAGCTCCGGTTATTGTGACATAGGTACTTTCTAAATCTAAGGCAACTGCGAGGGCGTCATCTTATTTTCTATATCTTGGATTATTTATATTTGGAGAAGTACTAGGTTGGTTATCCATAGTACTTCGATTGGGTCTGAATCCCGACTGCTGCATCTATCAGATTGTGCTCTTCAAAAAACCAAAGCTAACGTTTCTTTATTATCTTTCCTAGTAGTTTGCATATTGTGCATGCTAGTGAGATTGGCCTGTAGACATTGCAGCGTTCAAAGATGGGTCATTTTTTTCTGATCGATCCGATTAAATCCGAGCGATCAGAGTGGTTTTGAAGAGAATTTTAAAATGGCGCCATCAAGAAAGAAACGAGCTGCTGTTTCATTAGTGTTATTAAAACATTTTAAAGAAAGAAAGAAAGAAAAGCATTTGGGTGAAACAACATTTACAAGAGGTTTGTTAAAGTTAATGATTACCTAATTTAATCTAATTTAAAACATTATTTCCTTTGATAATGTCCCGATACTCCTTTAGTTTCACATTCCATAAACATTCAAAAGAACGATAAATTGATCCATTTGATCTGCAGAAAATCTTAGTTCCGCCATTTTTGAATTTTCACCACTTTGACGCTCACTCGTACAGGTACTCGTACTGCTATTCGGTTTGCGTTCAACTGGTTCAACTTTAATCCGAGCTCGGATCCGAGTAGAGCAACTCGTAAATGTCTTAATCTGTGCGTAAATGTAAAGCGGACTTTACCGAAAGTACAAGCTGAATATAGCCCAAATGTCAAACATGAAATAAAATATTTGGGTTTGGCAGTGTGTGAAATGAAATTTTTATGAAACAACGAATAAATCTTTGTCTCTTTCAAGATTAATTGCAAAAATTTGGCAACTGCTGATTTGACGATTGCTAAATCTAATCCGAAATCTATTAAAGGGCAATTGCCAAAAAAAATTTAATAATTAACTGCAATTAATCTCCAAAGACACAAATATTTACTTCTTATTTTATATAGCATACAGCGTAAATAGATTTATAAAAACATGTCAACACTGCTAAACTGAAATTTTTGTTCCATGTTTGACATTTGTGCATTTTCGGGCTTACGGCTACTTTCAGCTTGTACTTTCGGTAAACTCAACCCGCAACCCAGTGTTGGGTTGAGTCACGGTTGGTAGACTTAAGTCTAGGAACCATGGGCTGCCATGGGGTTGAGTCATCGTTGCTCGATGGGTTGAGTTTACCGAAAGTACAAGCTGAATATAGCCGCAAATGTCAAAAAAATTTCGGTTTGGCAGTGTTGGCATGTTTTTTGTTTTTACACAATGCATATTATGTGTGTGATCACATCCACATCACAAATTACATTAATGGTATGTGTTTTATATGTTAAATATGGAATTTAAAGTTGAAATTAAGGAAGAGTTTGTTGAACATGACCGAAAAGATACAGAGAACCAGCTATCCACATCAATAGATCTGGAAAACTTCAAAAATGAATTAGAAGATAACTCAGGTAAGACAAGTGGTAAACATTAAAGTTAAATATTAGTTTAGGTCTTAGGACAATGGTGTTCTAGGCATTGACATAATACCTAATAGAGATAATAAGAATAGGGCAGTGAACGTACAAGCAAGCAAGCAATTTAATTAAACTCAGCCTGCGAGAAATGTTCACCCCTAAGAATTACGTTCGGGTGTAACAAGTCATTGGAGGGAGGTGTGTTAACTAGAGTAAAAACCCACCGCGCTCCAATGCTCCAGACCATCCCTTTCCCCCCTATAGCACTCTGATGCGCTATAGAAGCACAACTATCAGCCAAATGCTCTTCATGTATAGGTCCTGTGTAATAGAACCCCAACATGGTTTCGAATGCAAAACTCAGGACAGCGCATTGTCGCTATATTCCTGTTATCCTAACGTGGCTTATCCGCAAACTAAAATTGCTTACTTGGGCCTCAAGTCTCCTCTCTGAGCTCAGTTCGGCGACTTGGTGCTCAAGGGGTTGGGCCCTATGTGCCCTGGTTTTGGGGTTTTTGTTAATTTTTTTTGTTGGCTTGCATCGGTTTTTGTTAGTATTTTTTTGGTGGCAGAGGCCAGTATTTTGTGTTTTTTTTTTGTTCTTTCTGTAGGTAGCACTGAAACAAAAAATCTGAATGTGTGCAATATTTATACTATGACACTGATAATATATATAAAATATAAAACAATATAATAATATACAGTTTGTCCTCTTTAAGGCAACAGGGCTCACTTTGTAATTGGCGATTGTCCTTGGATGTTATTGAGCTACGAACTGTCTTCATTTTGCTTTGTTGTAGTTTTTTTAATTGTTTTCTCTCTGGTGTGATTTTTAATTTTCTTTCTGGTATTTTGTTTTAGTCTACTATTTGTTGTTTAGGTCTTTTGTGCTTCCATCTATGGAAAGCATCATACCTTTTTATCTCTCGCAGTATGTGACTGGGGTGGTTCTCTATTTCCACGAAATTTATCCTAGCTTTTTCTTTCATTGTGTCAGTCACTCTGATTTGTTGCAATTCTCTAAAGAGGAATATTTCCACTACATATTTAGGTACATTGACTGCTTCTCTTAGGCTGTTGTGTGCCGCTTGTATTTACTTTTTTGAAGTGTTGCATATGTGTCCCCATACAAGAGATGCATATATTAGTATAGGAAGGACTATACTATTTATTAGTCTTATTTTTGTTTTCAGTCTGAGTTTGCTTCCCTCTTTCCTGATAGGCCTCTTGTAGATGCTCTTGCCATATTAGCTTTTTGTATAGTGGCTTATTTAGGTATTTTGCTTCGCTTTTCTACTTGATGGGATTGTCTTGCACAGTTACCTGTTCTTCTGGTTGTTGGTGCCTCTTTTTGAAAAGTACAGCTTGTGTCTTATCGGAGTTTATTGCCATTTTCTATTTTAAACTCCATTCTTCTATGTTGTCGAGTGCTGTTTGTAGGTTGTTAACTGCTATGTGTTCATTTCTATGTTTAGCTGCTATCGCTGTGTTGTTGGCATAGAGGCTTAATAGAACTTTGCTCCGCTGTACGCATATATATATATATATATATATATATATATATATATATATATATATATATATATATATATATATATATATATAACACAATATTTTTTAAAACTAATATTTAATCAAAATCAGTGTTAAATTAAAATGTGATAAACATCCTTTGTATTTATTAGAAATTGGAGTACACACTAAAATTAAGGAAGATTTTGCTGAAGGTTGTCAAGGATATATAGAGAGTCAGCTATTTACATCTCCAGATGTTGAAGATTTGATTAATAAAGCAGATGAAGATAACTCAGGTGAGAGAAGTAATATAATCAGAATATGCAGGGATTATGATCAGAATATGGGATGTTTCACATTATTTACAAGTTGGTACAGGAAACTTATGGCTTCCAACAGGTTTTATTAACTACCATTTTTCTTATCTTTCCTTGAAAAGTTATGGTTTCACAATAAATGATTTACCCTATGGTGACCAATTAAGATCAATTTCAAATAATACATTTAATGATAATGCTGCTGATAATACAGTTCTGCAGACTACAACACATGAGACTCCTTTGACTCCGTCAATATCCCATTAGTCTTCCTTAGTACACTTCCCTCAAGTTACAGATAAACTTATTAAACTATTTAGAAGCCTACCAGTTAAAATAGAAATAAAAACCGGTAAAACTGTCAGGAACTTATTTTTTAGAACAATAAAAAAATTTCTTTGTCCGTTCTTGAACAAATTTATGTTGTTTATACCACATTTTCTGTGCTGAATGTAATTCTCGTTCCATAGATCAGACTGGGCGGTCATTTAGGGGTAAAGTAACCTTCCACTGCAGTGGCTTTTATTGACCGAGAAGGGAGGTCAACTTCAGGTTGGGGGCCCAACCCAAAAATTGGGTGTTTGTAAATCGCAGCATTTTAGATTTTGCTTGTAAAAAATGGGACAATAATCTCATATTTTTGATAGATCCAATCGTTTCAGTACTCAATTGGGTGGTTTCATTTAAAGAGATGTAGTTAAGCAGCTAATTAGAAATGAAATTAAGTGTTTAAAGTAGTGCTGATTAGATGCAACTGAGCAGAAATTAATTTATAACCTGTTAAAAAACTTTGAAACACAATGCTGAATATTTTCAAATGGTGAAAGAAGGAAATATACCTGGTTTTACTATGAATTAGCTTCATAGGTATTTAGTGCAGGCTAGCGCTTCATTTTTTTGTATAGGGTAATTCCCTAATCTTTTTAGTGTTTCTGAATAACCTTTGTTTTTATGTACAACATAAATCTTGTGTAAGAAGTGCAAATTCTCATCACTCCATATGATATGCCAAGGTAAATTTTAATGTTTTTTTTTTATAGTTTTTTTTATTACATTATCTTTCATTATCCGTCATTTGTATGTAAGATTTAACGGATTATATCCATTTACATTTATGTACAGTTGCTAAAAAATTTATACTGTTTATTTTCTCTCATTATCTTTATTTCTTTTGGGAAATACTTTATTCTGACAGGAATGTAGAGCGACAATAAAAGGTAAGTGTCTTTGTTTCTCGTTCTTTTTAATTATGTATGCATTTAAAGAGAGGTTTAGCTATTTGTCATTTTTTTAGTATCTTAAACCGATCTTCTCATATGTCAAGTGTCGAGTTTTCTTTGTCCCACTAAAAAAAAGACAAGTTGGCGCCCTTTTCCATTTCTTTTTGTACCAAATGTTGTCTAATTTCATTGGCACATTTCAGTTCTCAATGTTTGACCTACATGTCCCCCATAGTAGGTCTATAGGCCCACTTCTCAAAGCTCTCTGTTGTGTTCTTCAAAACACCTAAGTGCCGGTTTTTATGGTGAACATACTTGAACCTGAATTTCTTCATTTCTCTTTTAATTCTGTTCTTACCCTTCCAGGCAAAGTATTTTTACAACAGCAATGAATCGTATATCTATGAAATTGTATTTCTTGTTTACATAGCTCAACCATATTCTATATTTAATATAGAATTACGCATCCTTGTCTTGATGCTATTAAATTCCAGAACCAGACCCTCTTGTCTGGTTTGTGTAACCTTGTTTATGACGACATTATCCTTCTCATAACCCTTAACTCCTTTACAAGTCTAGCACAGGTCTTATCTTTAAGTTTTGTGATGATTACCATCCCTTTCTTTTCTCTGGCTATTATTTGCCTTTCTTTACACGTTTTGCCGTATATCTTTGCCGTTACCTTCTTTCCTCTTACTGTCCACTCTAGTGCTTGATTTGCTTGCCACTCTTTTCTTGATTTTCCACTCTTAGTGCTGCTATCCCAAATCTTTTCTCTATCCATTTTTTCCCTACGGTCGAATAGCTTTCTGGCTGCTGCCTTTCTCCTTTGTTTCAGCTTGTGGACACATTTTTTTGATATCCTCTATATTCCAGTTTCCTCTATGGTACATGTTATTTGGTACATAGCCCCAATTCCTCAATTTTCATCTTCTACATATAATCCGGGGAGGTCTGGATACCTTGCACTAAAAAAATTACTTTTTTGCATATGGTTGCCTTATCATAAACCTTCTCTGGCCATTGTTGGTGTTCTCTGCCGTCTCCATTTTCTTATGTAATTCCTTCTTCTTTATAATTTTGGGCCCCCTTCACCATTTACTTCTAACTGCGTCTCTATGCATCTCAGTTGCCAGAGTTATTTTTGTTTGCGTCCATATTGTTGTTACGCTCTTTCTTATATGTACTTCCCCTTTTCTCAGTCTCCTCTATAGCACAATACATTAACTCTAATGTTTCTTTCCATTTCGCACCAAATCTGCCGTACCTTTGCGGCTCCCTGTTTGATCTCATTCTCGTATTTCTTTTTAAATTGATTTTACTTTTATTCTTATTTCCACCAGTTTTTCTCTTCGTGCGATTTCCTTTTCTTTCTTCTGTTGATATTGGTTGTCCATTCACTATCGTCATTACTATCTACTCTTCTTCCTCTTATATACATATTTTGAGATTGACTCTTTTACATTAAACAATATTATATTAGTTGATTTCCTAGCCCATTTTTTTTGCAATTTGGTGGAAATTGAATTTGGTTACACATTATATTATGCTTCTATGACTTCCATTTCTTAGATTTTTTGTTCCAATATGTTTACTTTAGAGGTAACTGATTGTAAGTCTAATTTGATTTTTCTTTTTTGAATACACTTATCTCCTTTGTCAAACTTTACTGAACTTCCAAAACGAAGAATTTAGACTTGGACATCGCCTCAAAACACCAAAGATAAAATCCTGAGAAACCAAATATGTTATTTCATGATTAACACTAGATATAAAAACAGCATCAAATCAACAAAGGCATATGACAGAGTAGATGCAGCATTAAATTACAACACCATTATTGCTAAGATACAAATAAGAAATTAAAAAAAGCAAACCTTCGAGAAAATAGATGTGACCTAAATTAAACAACAATGCTTAATAGAAAAACTTACACCGTAAATCAATAAAAATTTGGAAAAATTAGAGATCTACCTGAAATATGATAAAGTCGAAAATATAATTAGAACTTGCTTGTATATCAAAGAAGCCGTAGTAACACCATCATTAAGACATCTTAAAGAAACGAAACAAGAGAAAATACTAGATGGTAGAGGAAATCTTAATGATCATGGATCTCCGAAGAAAATAATATTAAAACACCAAAAATTACAAATAAATTGTAACATTTGAACGACCCATCAGGTGGGTGCCAATGGGTAACAATATAACTACATACCTCTGAAAGTTGGGAACCGATGTAGAAGAATAGAACTTTCTTTGGGGTCCAATTTTTAAGCCCCGTTTCGCTCAGTCTCGTGAGAACGTCTTATCTTCGAAGTAAATGTAAAAAAAAGTTCGGCTAGGACAAATAAACTAAGATATTAACTAATCATATTTATTGTATATAAATAAATATAAAAATTGGAATTTTAATATTAAATTACAATGAAACAAAACAAATCTTGCCTATAGTTTTACATAAAAAGATTTTTAAATAATATTTAAGTATGGCTTCAGAGCTTCAGAGGTCTCAACTTTTTTTCATCTTAATAGAGGGGGGTCTAGAATCTTCAAAAGACATCTCAGTCCAGGACGCCGCCTAACCAACTTTAGTGTAGGATTCATTATTCGTACTCGCGGCGATAGTTCCCGAGGTACTTTAAAATGCCATTTCGTCGCCGAGTCTACGCCGAACGCCTACCTGCTAAATCAGACCCTCCTCTGTCATCCAGCGATCCGGAAGCGGAATGGCCGCTGTAAGGCCGGCATCACTTCCGAAGCACTACCTTTATTCATTCATTCTCCATTCATACACTTCCACACTATACATCAACAAGGAGGCTCCCTGTCTCGTTCCAGGTAGCGCGTAGAAGACCCTCATCGCTCCAAGTTCGACATCATTTCCAGACGGACATTTCCTCCTTCCACACAGACTGACTCACGCAGTCTAACTCATACAGTGTGACCCACTTTTATAGCTTCACTTTTCAGCATCTTCACTCTTACCTTTGCCGTTGGTGCAAATGTCTTTCTTCCTCTTCCTTTTTCTTGATCAATGCACGGATATAGCTGTGTATGTTAGTCCAACCTAATTTATTTTCAATCATTCTCTCAATCATTTCTCTTACTGTAACAAAATTCACACCTGTCTCTCTCTCCATTCTGTTCCTTTCCACTATCCATCTGTTGCAATCTAACATCGTATGAGTCACAGTGTCCGAGTATCCACAATATAGCCATTCTTCTGTATCAGCCTTTCCGATTCTATAGAGGTAGGTCCTGAAACACCCGTGTCCTGTGAGCACCTGCGTCAGGAAATAATCCAGTCGCCTGTGGCCACAGTCCACAAAACCAAATTGCCTCCGAGATAAACCACCTGACCTCTCAATCATGTCGTCTATGCGTACTCGCAGCATCCTACAGCGACGTCTCGGATGTACGGGCCGTGTTAGTGGTCCCCGTTCCAGTTATCGAGAACTCGATGTAATGATGTTCAGTTCCGGTGTAGTCTGGCAAAACCTTACAGCCTCTTGCTTTCGGCGCTATTCCTTGTGTCGGCATGGTCACGCCGATGTACGTACCTGTATCTCTCCTAACAAATTTAGGTTAGAGACCTGTGTTCAGAACCACCAGGTCTAGAGTACCCTCCCAGTCAGTTAGTATCCTGCCGCGAGTATCTGTGATGGGAGATCCCCACTCAGCTGCTTTTGCGTTAAAATCTCCCAGCACTACGTATTCTCTTCCTGTGTTTCCCACTTACTGCATGATCTCGTCTATTTTTATCTCGTACTCGCCCACCGTCACGTTTGGAGAAATATAACAGCAGACCAGCCTCACCCCCTCCATCCGAACAATCACATATCCTTCTTTTGGCTTAATTTCATACACTCGCAGCTTCCTATTGTAGATTCGTACAGTAGCCCTCCCATTCGTACAGATGTTGTCTCAACTAGCTGGACAGTAGAATGTAGTGGTTTTAGTTTCTGATGTAGGTAAATTTAGATAGTTTCATGTTTGCATCTTCAGGTGGCAATTGGGTTCAGAATATTAGCTGCAGTTATTATTTCATGGTCGACCATGTGCTGTGGAATTTTTACCAAAAAAGGTGGACACAAAATAGGCCAAAAACTAGAACAATTAACCTCGTGTTAGAAACTTCATAGACTTTAAAATATTTGTTTGTCAAATAAAAATTGAAAATAATTACAATATTAAATAACAAATAGCAAATTGGCAAGGATAAAATGAATTATTTATTATTATATTCACTCTTAATAAATTTTATTACTGTTTGTTTTACCCTGTATTTTCTGCATAAATTTTTTTTATAGTTTTTATTTTTATTTTAGGGTTTTCTCCAAACGGAATGGAAATCATAAAAACTGAAGTTATATGCACTACAGAACAACAAATATATTCAAACACTGAAGAAACAACATTAAAAAATTCTATCTGTAAATGTACAATTTGTTTTAAGCAATTTGGCCTGGAAGGTTCTTTGAAACGACATATAAAAACGCACACTACAGAAAAGCTTTACAAGTGCGAAATTTGTGTTAAACACTTTTCTCGAAAAGATCATTTGAAGATACATATGAGATTACACACTGGGGAAATGCCTTATAAGTGTGAAATTTGTTTTAAACAGTTTGCTCAAGCACACGTGTTGAAAAGTCATTTAAGAGTGCACATTGGAGAAAAACCTTACAAGTGTGAAATTTGTTTTAAAGAGTTTACTGTAAAAGCTGAATTGAAGATACATATGAGATGTCACACTGGGGAAAAGCCTTATAAGTGTGAAATTTGTTTTAAACAATTTACACGAACAAGTCATTTGAAATCACATACAAAAGTTCACAGTGGAGAAAAGCCTTACGTGTGTGAAATTTGTTTTAAGCAGTTTACTCGAGCACCCGATTTGAAACGTCATTTCATAGTGCATACTGGGGAAAAGCCTTACAAGTGTGAAATTTGTTTTAAACATTTTACTCGAGCACCCGATTTGAAACGTCATTTGAGAGTGCACTCTGGGGAAACGCCTTATAAATGTGAAATTTGTTTTAAACAGTTTAATTATAAAAGGTATTTCAATCAACATACGAAAATTCACATTGGAGCAAAGTCTTAGGAGTGCGAAATTTGTTTTAACCAGCTTACTCAAGCACGCAGTTTGAAAAGTCAGTTGAGTCTGCACACTGGAAGAAAGCCTTAGGAGTGTGAAATTTGTTGTAAACAGTTTACACAAGCATGTCATTTGAAACCTTATTTGAGAATACAGATACACACTATAGAAAAAGTTATTTAATCTAATACCATGGTGTACAAAAAGGGGTATACATATGTGAAATTATGAATATAATTTCAGTGTATGAGGACTGTATTACATAGGGCTGTTTCAAATAAATTAGGATCTGTAATAAAGGGTTATTCAGATCATATCAAATCAAGTTTATAAAAAGTCTTACGATATTTCTACTGCACACACACTCGCTTTAATTACAGGCTTTCACTCCCGGTTGTTCTTTGTACGGGGAAACTGTCTTTACCGGTTTTGAAAACGTATCTCACGGTACTAACACTGAGATCACGAGAAACAGCACATCAACAGGGAGGAGAGCGTACGTCTGTTGCTAACGATAGTCGACAGGGAAGAGAAGAGAGTACGTCTGCTGCTAGCGAAACTCAGCAGGCGAGAGGGCGTCTGTTCCTAGCGATAGAAACTGTCTGTATTTCTAATGGGGTGGGTTGAAGTTTGCAGTAGGAAGTATTATCAAGGGTTGGACTAAGGTAATTGTAAAATTGTGGTAGAATAATAGTAACTGATACAGCAAAAAAATGACAATTTTTCGCATGTTAACAATTGAACATACTGGAAGCGGGCGAGAAGAGCTACTCCGCTGGGATGGGGTATTAAATAGTTACTTCGAGAACGAGTGTAAACTTGTATGCATTAGGGACATTGTTGTAAAAACTAAGGTAACTAAGAATTATTGAAACTTTAGAGAAATTAAAGTCTCACTCTAAACTTTTCTTACAACGTCTCTGGTCATTGCTCTTAAATTGGGACAGTGAAATACTGAATGACCTATTGATCTCGAAATGGAGATCATTATTGGATCATTTCAATCAATATATAAAATTACATCTCCTGGATGCCTGACACTTCCACTACTTAGTAAGAGTAAGTGGAACATCGCTACTGATCCTTTCAATCATTATACTGATCAATAGCTTTATAATAAATTTCAGTTTTTTTTTGTAAAATTTATTAAAATTAGTTAAATTAATAAAGCTTTTTTATTTTTTTGGCGAAATAAATAACGATACACTTTAATCAATAATTAAAAAGTGTCAATAAGTAACTACATGCAAATTGCTGTTGCGCGCCCGAAATGGAAATTATTTAAGGCGCGCCCGGGGGAAGGTTAAAATTAATTACAAGCTTATACATATAGACACATGAGCTTTACTCGGAATAAGTTGTTATATTTTGTTAATGTTCAATTTCTTCTTTCCCTTCTTTCTTTCAAAAAACTTCATGAATCCAGATGAATTTTCTGGCACTAGAGGGCTGCCGTTGGACACATCTCTTACTGTATAGTAATATTTCAATGAATCCAGATAAGAAAAGCTGTTGCATGCTTAAAATTACTATGTAAAGCCACACAATCATGACAACCACGTGAAAATCTCAATAACAATGAAATATGTCGCGTTGTCTGAACCTTTTCTGATTGAACGCAATTTTGTGGAATTTCTTTCCTTAAAACGTTTTTATTTTGTACAATAAATAATTTTATTATTTGTTATCAATACATCATGGTATAAATAAATAATTGTTGATTTTCGATAATTCGTTTTAAAGTCCTATAAGTTTGTTTACTATTATTATTGGGTATAAACATGTATAGTAATTTCCAGCCAAAATATAACTAAATGTGCAAAAAATAATTACTAAATTCCCTAGACAGTTGGGACTGAGATTAACGAATCGACTACATCATCATTGGAGAAAATCTCAAAAGATTGCCAGAAGTTGTTAATAAAAACAGTATAAACAAGCGAAGAATATGTATAAGAATAAAAACATTATAAATATCAACCTCTAAATTAATAAGAAGAAAATTGGAAGAGTTGAGAAATATAACTGTCTGGGAATATTTGTGAATGAAACGAACGATTACACAAAGAAAATTGCAATGATAATTGAGAAAACAAGAAGCGCTTTTATGAATATGAAAAGAATATGAACCAGTCGAGACCTGAGCTTAAAACTAAAAATACATCTAGTAAAATGTCATATTCATTTGATCCTTCTATATTATGTACAGAAGTGGACCTGCAAATACTCTGTACTTATAAAAATGACAAATGCAGAGGTACTCAGATGAATGAGGAAAGAAAAAGAATTATCTACTATTAAAATCAAAAGTCGAAAACTTCAATATTGTGGACATTTTATGCGGGAGATAAGTGTTAACTTCTGCGAAAAAATCCAGGGAAAATTGTAGGAAGAAGTATAGGTAGAAGAAGATAGCTTGGCTGCGAAATTGAAGAGAGTGGCTTGGTTGCAACTCCAAGATCCAAAAAGCTGTGATGATATCCAAGCTTCGAAACGTGCTTCCCCACATGCTACACCGAAAAATATTAATGATCTGCTTTTTATTACAACTGCCTAAACCAGTTTAGCACCTGAAAGCATTTATCAATAGAAAGAAATCTTAGCATGCAGCTATCACGATACATTTTGATCTTCAGTTATTGCCACAAAGCGAGTAAAAGAAATGTCACTTATAAAGTCAAGTTTTAGTTTTATAATTTAAATACATAAATTATTTATTTTCAAAATTATAACAAAAATAGGAATTGTCTACCCCCAAATTGCTCAGTGTACCACAAAAATAAAATTTTTGTTAAAATCTCTTACGAGATAATTATAATATGAACCATAACCTGCGGGAGAGACTGTTCCGATTCTCCCACATCTGTTAATAAATCTATGACATAGATACAATAAGTTTTTTTATAAATGAGCAATATTGGTACCTATTATGGCAATATTCTTTTCCCTTTTCAATTAGCGTAAATTAGTGATACCACTATATTGCTGATGCTAGTCATTGGATTTTTTGCTTAAAACAATTCTCTTTTTCTAGAATGTTAGTACCTGTAGTTCTAGTATGTTTCAGTTTTATTTATTATTACGAGTCCTAACAACTATATAATGAGAAAAACTAAAATACAAGCAAAATTTAGATAGTTAAAAGTTTATTTTTTTTCTAATCATGTTTTTTATTGTATTTCTTTGTAATTTATTAATTACTTAGCATATAGGTTCAATCAGTACACAGTTGTCAGGCATTTACTTCACTAAGGAGATGCACTGCTTAGAGGTAAATTCATTGCAACTCGGTTCTATTTTGACTTTCAAGTTCGTATAATGACCGTTGTGGGTTATTCGCTAGTGTTGTTATCAGGGTTGTTAGAAGGCCAAAAAACGACATTTATATTGTGGTTTCCACACCGGCTTTGATGTGATTCTGGCCGTATAACAAGCCACTTAGTCCTGCTGAAAAATATTTGTGTGTCAAATAAAAATAGAAAATAATTACAATATTAAATAGCAAATTGGCAAGGATAAAATGAATTATTTATTATTTTATTCACTCTTAATAAATTTTATTACTGTTTGTTTTACCCTGTATTTTCTGCATAAATTTTTTTTAAAGTTTTTATTTTTATTTTAGGGTTTTCTCAGAACGGAATGGCAATCATAAAAACTGAAGTTATATGCACTACAGAACAACAAATATATTCAAAAACTGAAGAAACAACATTTAACAATTCTATTTGTAAATGTACAATTTGTTTTAAGCAATTTGACCTGGAAGTTTCTTTGAAACGACATATAAAAACGCACACTGCAGAAAAGCTTTACAAGTGCGAAATTTGTGTTAAACACTTTTCTCGAAAAGATCATTTGAAGATACATATGAGATTACACACTGAGGAAACGCCTTATAAGTGTGAAATTTGTTTTAAACAGTTTGCTCAAGCACACTTGTTGAAAAGGCATTTAAGAGTGCACACTGAAGAAAAACCTTACAAGTGTGAAACTTGTTTTAAAGATTTTACTGGAAAAGCATTGAAGATACATATGAGATGTCACACTGGGGAAAAGCCTTATAAGTGTGAAATTTGTTTTAAACAGTTTAGACGAACAAGTCATTTGAAATCACATACAAAAGTTCACACTGGAGAAAAGCCTTACGTGTGTGAAATTTGTTTTAAGCAGTTTAGTGAGGCAAGTAATTTGAAAACACATTTGAAATATCACAGTGGAGAAAAGCCTTACGAGTGTGAAATTTGTTTTAAGCAGTTTACTCGAGCACCCGATTTGAAACGTCATTTGAGAGTGCACACGGGGGAAAAGCCTTACAAGTGTGAAATTTGTTTTAAACAGTTTTCTGGAAAAGATCATTTGAATATACATATGAGATTGCACACTGGGGAAACGCCTTATAAATGTGAAATTTGTTTTAAACAGTTTAATCATAAAAGGTATTTCAATCAACATACGAAAGTTCACATTGGAGCAAAGTCTTAGAAGTGCGAAATTTGTTTTAAGCAGCTTACTCAAGCACACAGTTTGAAAAGTCAGTTGAGTCTGCTCACTGGAGGAAAGCCTTAGGAGTGTGAAATTTGTTGTAAACAGTTTACACAAGCAGGTCATTTGAAACCTTATTTAAGAATACAGATATACACTACAGAAAAAGTTATTTAGTCTAACACCATGGTGTACAAAAAGGGGTATACATATGTGAAATTATGAATATAATTTTTAGTGTATGAGGACTGTAATACATAGGGCTGTTTCAGGTAAATTAGGATCAGTAATAAAGGGTTATTCAGATTATATCAAATCAAGTTTATAAAAAGTCTTATAACTTAACTCTATTAATCTCTCTCTCTCTCTCTCTCTCTTAATCTTAACGATATTTCTACTGCACATACACAATCGCTGTATTTACAGGCTTTCACTCGCGGTTGTTCTTCGTACGGGGAAACTGTCTTTATATATGTTCATACTAATGTTCATAAACCTGTTATAATTACGGGTGACTTTAATGTCCATTTTAATGAAACAGATATCAGAGCTTTAAAACTCTCTAATTTTTTTAGATCTTACAATATTACAAAAAAAGTTAAATTTAATACTCGAGGTAATAGATGTCTTGATAATGTTTTCGCAAATATTGATGGTACCACAAAACCTGTGGATCTCACTCACATATCTGACCACAGAGGTATTTCCTTTCAGATAGCTTACTCATCCACAAATTGTGCAACCAGAGTTTGTTATAGACCTATCACAGATGAAGGACTCTTTAATATGAACCAGATTTTGCTAAATTGCAACTTTAATTTTGTATACAATGATAATTTGGATATTAATTTAAAATGCTAATTGATGTGTTATTAAATTCCATAAATATCTCTTTTCCAGAAAAATCTAAATTGCTAAATAAAAATAATCCAGGTAAAAAAGTAAACTGGTTGCTCTACCACAATGTGTAACCGGAGCGAAGATTCTGGGGATATATTTGGATGCAGGATTAACCTGAGAACAACATATAGTTAATCTATCGAAAAAGCTTTCCCGACAACTTTTTCTCTTCAGGAACCTTGTACAAATGACTTCCAGGGAAACTATTTTAACAGCTTATCATAGTAATTTTCATTCTCATCTGACATATGCTATTCTCTCCTGGGGTCACTCTTGTCATATCGCTAAAGTGTTTGCACAACAAAGAAAGTGTGTTCGTATTATCTCTGGGCTCTCTTATAGAGCAGACTGTAGAAACTCCTTTAGAGCTTTAAAAATTTTAACTTTACATTGTGTATACATTATGCAGTGTCTGTTGCACATTAAACAAAATCTTAGCCAATACAATGCGCATGTAGATTTTCACAATTATCCCACCAGATTTAACAATAATCTTATACCAGAATTTAGCCGTCTTGAGAGATCCAGAAATGGTTCAAGGTATTTAGCCATAAAATTCTACAACTTAGTGCCAGCTAGAATAAAAGCTCTTAATTTTCATCAGTTTAAGGCAAAAATTAAGAATTATCTTATAGTGAATGCTTTTTTTACATATGAGGAGTATTTTACTTCCAATTTTAATTTGTTGTAATTGTTAACAGTATAATTTAAAACAATGTATCTATGTTTTATGTTTATATTTATGTGCATATTAACTATATTGACATATATTTTATTATTTTTTTTTTTTGACTAGTAAATTAGTAAAAAATACTTTTGTATTAATTTATTACCAATAAACCATATATCTATCTTTACCGGTTTTTGAATACGTGTCTCGCGGTACTAACACTGAGATCACGAGATAGAGCACATCAACAGGGAAGAGAGCGTACGGCTGTTGTTAACGATAGTCAACAGGGAAGAGAAGAAAGTACGTCTGCTGCTAGCGAAACTCAGCATGCGAGAGGGCGTCTGTTTCTAGCGATAGAAACTGTCTGTATTTCTAATAAGGTGGGTTAAAGTTTGCAGTAGGAAGTATTATCAAGGGTTGGACTAAGGTAATTGTAAAATTGTGGTCGAATGATAGTAACTGATACAGCAAAAAATGACAATTTTTCGCATGTTAACAATTGAACATACTGAGGGTGGGCGAGAAGAGCTACTCCACTGAGATGTGGTATTAAATAGTTACTTCGAGAACGAGTGTAAACCGGTATGCATTAGGGACATTGTTGTAAAAACTAAGATAACTAAGAATTATTGAAAATCTAGAGAAACTAAAGTCTCACTCTAAACTTTTCTTACAACGTCTATGGTCAGTGCCCTTAAACTGGGACAGTGAAATACTGAATTACCTATTGATCTCGAAATGGAGATCATTATTGGATCATTTCAATCAATATATAAAATTACATCTCCTAGATGCCTGACACTTCCACTACTTAGTAAGAGTAAGTGGAACAACGCCACTGATCCTTTCAATCAATATACTGATCAATAGCTTTAAAATAATTTTTTTTTTAAAAAGTTTTTTTTTGTAAAATTTATTAAAGTTAGTTAAATTAATAAAGCTTTTTTATTTTTTGGCAAAATAAATAACGATACACTTTAATCAATAATTAAAAAAGTGTCGAAAATAATAAGGAACTACATCCAAATTGCTGCTGCGCGCCCGGGCGAATAAGTTTTTATATTTTGTTAAAGATCAATTTCTTCTTTCCCTACTCTCTTTCAAAAAACTTCATGAATCCAGATGAATTTTCTGGCACTAGAGGGCTGCCGTTGGACACATCTCGTACTGTATAGTAATATTTCAATGAATTCAGATAAGAAATGCTGTTGAATGCTTAAAATCACATATGTAAAGCCACACAGTCATGACAACCACGTGAAATCCTCAATAACAATGAAATATATCACGTTGTCTGAACCTTTTTTGATTGAACGCAATTTTGTGGAATTTCTTTCGTTAAAACGTTTTTATTTTGTACAATAAATAATTTTATTATTTGTTATCAATACATGATGGTATAAATAAATAATTGTTGATTTTCGATAATTCGTTTTAAAGTCCTATAAGTTTGTTTACTATTAATATTGGGTACAAACACGTGTGCTTGATTGTATAGTAATTTCCAGCCAAAATATAACTAAATGTGCAAAAAATAATTACTAAATTCCCTAGACAGTTGGGACTGAGATTAACGAACCGACTACATCATCATTGGAGAAAATCTCAAAAGATTGACAGAAGTTGTTAATAAAAACAGTATAAACAAGCGAAGAATATGGCCTAACCCTCAACATAATGAAAACTAAATTTATGATTGTATAAGAATAAAAACATTATAAATATCAACCTCTAAATTAATAAGAAGAAAATTGGAAGAGTTGAGAAATATAACTGTGTGGGAATATTTGTGAATGAAAAGAACTATTACACAAAGAAAATTGCAATGATAATTGAGAAAACAAGAAGCGTATTTATGAATATGAACCAGTCGAGACCTGAGCTTAAAACTAAAAATACATCTAGTAAAATGTCATATTCATTTGATCCTTCTATATTATGTACAGAAGTGGACCTGCAAATACTCTGTACTTATAAAAATGACAAATGCAGAGGTACTCAGATGAATGAGGAAAGAAAAAGAATTACTGTTAAAATCAAAAGTCGAAAACTTCAATATTGTGGACATTTTATGCGGGAGATAAGTGTTAACTTCTGCGAAACAATACAGGGAAAATTGTAGGAAGAAGTATAGGTAGAAGAAGATAGCTTTACTGCGAAATTGAAGAGAGTGGCTTGGTTGCAACTCCAAGATCCAAAAAGCTGTGATGGTATCCAAGCTTCGAAACGTGCTACACCGAAAAATATTAATGATCTGCTTTTTATTACAACTACCTAAACCAGTTTAGCACCTGACAAATAAATCTTAGCGTGCAGCTATCACGATACATTTTGATCTTCAGTTATTGCCACAAAGCAAGTAAAAGAAATGTCACTTATAAAGTTAAGTTTTAGTTTTATAATTTAAATACATAAATTATTTATTTTCAAAATTATAACAAAAATAGGAATTGTCTACCCCCAAATTGCTCAGTGTACCACAAAAATAAAATTTTTGTTAAAATCTCTTACGAGATAATTATAATATGAGCCATAACCTGCGGGAGAGACTGTTCCGATTCTTCCACGTCTACCTGTTAATAAATCTATGACATCGATACAATAAGTTTTTTCATAAATGAGCAATATTGGTACCTATTATGGCAATATTCTTTTCCCTTTTCAATTAACGTAAATTAGTGATACCACTATATTGCTGATGCTAGTCATTCGATTTTTTGCTTAAAACAATTCTCTTTTTCTAGAATTTTAGTACCTGTAGTTCTAGTATGTTGCAGTTTTATTTATTATTACGAGTCGTAACAACAACTATATAATGAGAAAAACTAAAATACAAGCAAAATTTAGATAGTTAAACGTTTATTTTTTTTTTTCTAATCATGTTTTTTATTGTATTTCTTTGTAATTAATTAATTACTTAGCATATAGGTTTAATCAGTACACAGTTCAGTCAGGCATTTACTTCACTAAGGAGATGCACTGCTTAGAGGTAAATTCATTTCAAATCGGTTCTATTTTGGCTTTCAAGTTCGTGTAATGACCGTTGTGGGTTATTCGCTGGTGTATGTTTCATTTTATGCTATACTGTTTCAAATCATTTAGATCAAGGCTTTTAGAAGGCCAAGACACGACATTTATATTGTGGTTTCCACACGTTTTTTTTTTTGTGGTTCTGGCCGTATGACAAGCCACTTCGTCCTGCTAAAAAATATAATTCCCGCCAGCATTTAATTTCACAATAGTTGGTATCAGGCTATTTTGAGGTATTTGTTGGTATTTCTCAGCATTTACGGTACCCTTAATAGATTAAAAGCATCTCTACAACCCTAAAACTCTCATACAACCGCAAATCATAACTTATTTAGAAAATTGTACGATCCGTTTCAACCAGTCTTTGTCAAAAGCTCATGCTTAGTGCGAATAACTCGTTTGCGGTAATCATCAACACATACGTCGAATTTTGAGTCTTCACTAGAGATTTCTTGGGACCAATCTTCTACCGACAAGAAGGTAATATTTTGGTGACACAAAGGTGACATTTTGTGATATATTGTAAATATTTACACATGTTTCTAATTACAGTGTCTTGATAAAGGAATTAAACAATTCCGAAAGCTAGACCAAAAGTCAAAAGAGTGTTTCTGTAACATCCCAGCCAAACTTCTGACTGCAGCCTCAATAAACTTTGTTGTTTGTTTAAATTGACAGTCACGAATATCCAGTAGTCATTGTATATATATATATATATATATATATATATATATATATATATATATATATATATATATATATATATATATATAATGTAATATGTAATGATATACATTGAACATAAAAACGAATTTTTTACAACAAAAACTATTGGAACGCCACTTTAGAACTATATTTTCCGCTGGACCGCCTTCAGGCTATCAATACGAGTACACTTCTTCGAATTCATACTGTACTTCTAACTATCAATAACAAAACAATGACTAATCAGATATTTTGATCGAAAACGTAGGTACACAAGAATTCAATGCTATTTTGTAGTACACATACCTCCTTATTATCATAAAGTATTAATCATTTCATCTCAAGTACAACGTCACTGAAACAAGTTATGAAGTCATCAGTGACGTGTTTTTTAATTCATGTGTGGGTTGACACTAAGCATCGTACGATAGATTTGTTAAAAACAATATTGTTTACCTGTTAGAAATAATATGACTAAATAATAATTAGCATAATTAAATAAAATGATTTTATTTTATTTAAATTTTTGATATTGAAAGTATACCGATTTTATTAAAAAAAAAAGAAAATAATATAAATGTACTTTAGTTGAGACATGTAGACAAGGCGAGAAGCTCGGGTTCGTCCGGAAAAATATTCCCATGAGATTTTTTTTGTCTAATTACTTTCATAAGATTTCCAAAATAAGGTTTAGAAGGTCACCCAGGAGAAAAGTTGATCAAAATTTTAAATAAATTTTACCTAGGCAGAGTGAATGGGTACCAGAAGAGTGGCTGAAGCATAGCAATAGCAAACAGAACTGTTCACGGTCTCCAGAAACATTTAAAAAATAAAAATATAAAATGGCAGTAGAGCTTAATATATACAAGACCTTAATAAGATCAGTTTTGATATATGGGGCTGAAACGTGAACCTTATCTCAAAATAATGAAAAACTTCCTGGTATTTTTGAGAGAAAAATTCTTAGAAAGATTTTTGGGGCCGTAAATGAAAATGGGCTATGGCATCGATGATACAACTTTCAACAATATCAGTTAGGGCGAGCGCCCACCAAAGTGGCGTGGCAGTGGCAAGTAGCAAGTAGCACGCGTCTAGCATAATGTAACCAATGAAAGCGAATGATTCAGTTTACACCAAAATGACAGTAACGTCATTCATTCTAATCATTCGTTAGGATTGGTTACATTATGCTAGACGCGTGCTACTTGCTACTTGCCACTGCCACGCCACTTTGGTGGGCGCTCTCACTTATACACCGATCCAGATATTGTGAAATTCGTTAGTGCATAGACTTAGATGGACAGGACACATTGCTAGGATGTCAGATCACGAAAACACGAAGAGATTAACATTTTCAAAACCAGAGGGCACAAGAAGCAGAGAACGACCACGAATGA